TATATATATATATATATCTATCTCTATCTATATATATATATCTATATAAATCTCTATCTAAATGCATATTGAGCTCCAATTTCTTCAAATCTAAGCAGCTGTTCGGGTCAACGTCACACACTCGAACATGTGTTACAGCTTGACCAGCTTAAAACTAAATATGACTTATTTGTGTCACTCATAAAGGTTGCAGAAACAAAGTCGGTACAGGTTTGGGATCGTTACGTTTTTCTCTGCTTTACGGACATTTAACACGTGTGTGTGTATAATAACCTTTGCTACATGCGGTGTTCATGTTTCAAGTTTGCTTTGCAGTTTAGTTACTGATTCACTTCTGCGGGCTGTATTGTGCAGCACTTGGAGCTCATTTCCATATTAACTGACCTTTAATACCGTGTGTATCAGTTTGACGGCTGGACTGCAAACTGACTGTTGTTTTTGATGTTTTTTTTAATAAGCACAGGGTTACTTTATGCTTCTTCGTCATGTTTAAGAACCTTGTTTTGAAACTGGTCTGAGACTCTACTAAGCTGTCAACCAGGAAGTTGAGTTGGGTGTGTGGCAGTTGTTCCTCATTTGTGATCTTGTAGGGACAAGACGAAAGTTGCGGACAGGCGAGTCAGGATTTCTTAAATTATTTGCACTGCCACTTTACATTCCAGGTGTGTTGAGGGAAGAACTTCAGTTGCAAGTGTTTATGAGTGACTCCTTTAACATTTTAGATCCAAGAGGGGACAAAAGCAGAGGAAAACAGATTCTACCAATGGGGACCAACTTCAACCAGAACCATAACGGTCAGTTTTTAAGATTATTGTGATCGGACATGCATGTTTTTTAAAATGATGAAAGGGAAACCAAACAGATACTCTTCTTGTTCCTGAACATTTGATACCACTAGTATTTTTCAAGACATGGGAACAAGGGAACGAGGAAGTCCACCTATCGAATGTATCTCACTATTGACATTAGAGGACACTTCACAACATTACTTTAAACTAACCAAACAATAACTTAGAGTTGTTCTTTTAACATCTGGACCGTCACTTGTTCCCCCCCTCAGACTTTCTGATCACTGATCCCAGACCACCAGAATACGTCCAAGTTTTACAGAAGAAGACCGTGAAAGAGCTGCTCATGATGAGACGCCAGGTAAGTCCCAGGTTAGAAGTTGACTTTACAGAAAAATGTATATTATTTCTTCATAAATGTGTTGAATCTGGTTTTGTTTATGAGGGAAGACAAAGTTCCTTAAATATGAGGAAGTAGAAGTTGAGCATTCCTCCACGAACAGACTGCAACATAAACTAAATGACACAGACATGCCTGAGTCGGGTTAATCATGATTTAAATGACAGCTTGCAAATGATTCTCTTTTAGAGATGGAACTGCTCGCAGGACGACAAGAACTCAGTGCACGCATTTAAATCTGCAAAATTTGAAGTTTGTGGCAATGAGCCGAACCGTTTTACGAATCATCTCTTCACTGCCTCTGCTGAAAATGCTCCCGTTACCCCACAACAACTGCAACGTCCGGCTCTGCAGAGACAAGCGGCTCCGGCTGCTGAAGTGGACATTTCTTTTTTTCACTGGCAAATACAGCGAGAGTTGCAGAGGGTCCGAGGAGTTCCTCCTGAGCTGCTCAACACGCAAGATGCGGATGGTGACACGTATGTACCCATGAAGAAAGTGTGAAAATAATCATCAACAGATAAAACCGTGAGCTAAATGTCATTTGTGTTACTTCAAAAGTGGTAGTGACACTTATGCAGACCTGAATAAAGTAACATTTGTTTGCATATGTCTTATTTCTTTTCCACTTGCCAGATGTCTTCACATAGCAGTGGCACAAGGTCGACGGGCTCTTGCTTATGTGCTTGCTGTCAGAATGGCTCGATGTGGCTCTCTGGACATGAAAGAACACAATGGGCAGGTACAAAGGCTTAAAGAGTTAGTTTAATTCATGAATAGTACCCATTTAACCCACAAACGCCTACTCCTTTGTACCTAGACCGCTCTTCAGATAGCAGCCACCACCAATCAGCAGTTGATAGTCCAGGACCTGCTGACACACGGAGCACAGATCAACACTCGGGACTACTGGGGCCGCTCTCCTTTGCACGTGTGTGCTGAGAAAGGCTACTTTCTCACCCTTCAGGTAGATTTAACTGCTCAGTCGTGTGCAAATGTCAATGATTCAGTTTGGCACATAATAAAATGTTGTTGCAGCATTTTGATCATTTGGATATATTTAATGTTTTCTACACTATCTTGATGTATTCCCACAGAGCATCTGGAGGACCCTAATGGGGAGCGGGCAGCCAATTGACATTGAAATGTTCAATTATGATGGTGAGTACGTCTTATTCGAGTTAAAACCTGGTGTGACTTATGCAAAGTGTCTTTGTGATGACATACTGTTCTCTGTCTGGAGGTTTCACTCCGCTGCATGCAGCAGTGTTGTCTCACAACGCTATTGTTAAAGAGCTGAAGGGGAGTCTTTGTTCATATAAGACGAAGGAGCTGCTGCAGAAGACACAGATGTCTGTGGAGTGTATCAAGACTCTGCTGCTCATGGGCGCCTCCTGTGGGACAAAGGTAACTGTTAAAACCACCTGCTTGGTATTAAAAAGCCATGTTGCATGACCACTAAGCTTGGATCTGAGGGAATTGCCTTGTTTTTCATTTATGCAGGACCAAAAAAGTGGAAGGACGTGTCTTCACATGGCTTCTGCGGAGGCAAACGTCGAGCTGTTTAACATTTTCCTCGCGCAGCCATCTTCACTGTCGGTCGTCAATGTTCAGGCAAGTTGTTTTGTTGTAATAAAATCGAATGTGAAGTGAGCGTAACACACAAACTGGGTGAAACGCATCGAGTGACTCTGCGTGTGTATGTTGCAGACGTTCAGTGGAAACACAGCCCTGCACATCGTCAGCTCTTTGCAAAATCATGACACTCAAGTGGAAGCAGTGAAGCTGCTGATGAGAAAAGGCGGCGACCCCGGGACCAGGAACTTTGAAAATGAACTGCCGACTCAGCTGGTGCCAGAAGGACCCGTTGGTGAAAAGGTATTGATGATAACATCATCTTAATGTGAGGCAAACACTGTTACACAAATATATGAAAATACCATTAAGTAGTAAAATAAGTCGCATCAACAAACATTAATTATTATAAATGAAAGTGCATGTTGTTTGAGAATCAGTACGAGTGATTATTTGAGTTTTCTTTTCTTTTAGGTGCAGAAGATCCTGAAAGGAAAATATTTGAATGCTTAAGTGAAGCTCAAAAACACTGTCAGTCAGACAGTCCAATCTATCGTAATATTATTTGCCAAAACAAGGCAGATGCTGTTTGTTTCTGTGAAACATGCCATTGTTCATTACTATGTAATGCCCAAAGAGAAAATGGAGATATGATTTGTATTCTTTTGTTAATTAACCTTTATGTGACTTAAGGTGGTACGTTTAAGACTGCAACACAATCAGCAAACTTTCTCTGTAAATCTGTTATTGCTGGAAAAGTTTAATATTTATGCAGGATTATAATCGTGGGTAGACATGTTATGCTGCATATCGTTGTATTTAGAAATACATTAACAGTTTAACATGTTGTAGGTTATTTTCTTTTTAATAATTGTTTTTGGTGTTCATAATCTTGTTTGTTTAAAACATGTGCATGCATTTTCATAAAGGTTTAACATTGTAGTTAATGCAGAAAACATTCTGACCACACACCTGTACTACATTTTATTGTGAAAGGGTTATTGTTTGATGTTATATTATGATATAGAGTTTGAAAAACATCAGGTATAATTTGGTGTTCTGGAATTAAATGTATCAACGTTTTGAATATGTTGTATTTTCATGAATTAAAATGTACAAAGTCTTGTCAGCATTTTTTTTTTATCAGCTATTAATACTTCATTCATTAAGAAGAGGGAGAGGAGGATCATTATTGGATGTTCACTTATCTCCCCCTTGTGGTTGTTTATTGAACCTACATCTCAGCGACACTCCTGTTTAAAAGGAAATATCATTTTTGAGATGTGCTGTTACAAAGATTTTGGACAACATGAGTCAGTTGTCTCCATCACGAGGAAACCAGGACTTGGACATTTAGGACTACTAGACATACTAGATCATTTAATCATAACATTAAATTAGGAAATGAATAAAGAAAAAAATACACCATAAAAATGTGTCTTGTGAAAGTGTGAGAAAGAAGAGTACTTAGAATGCATTTCTCAGTAATTAAGCAGTTTTAGTTATTTTATTTTATTACTAATGTGTCGAGATTCATACATGGGAGGCCTCATGAGAATTATGAAAACCTACACGTGTTAATAAAGATTTCCCAGCCAAGTTATACTGTTTCCAAGATGTTCAACAGGACTGTGATGGAATACGGTCGACGTTGGGCCCAGTTCCAATTCGTAGCAGAGGGACCTCTGTGAAATACAACGTAGGTGATACAGTCGTCTTTTCTTATAGAATATGTACTCTTATTCTGTTCCAGAAGTCAAATAATATTGTAGTTGTATCACTGCGTTAAGTGAGATGACATGTTGTGTTTTAGTCCGTAATGTAGTGGTGAATGAAGCCATTTGGAATGCGGCCATGACTGGGTCCGTTGCGTCACACCAAAACAGGAAGTTTTCAGAGTTCACAGGCTGCGGGCTACATCCGCATTCTTTAACAAGTGTTTACATCGTGAGGACTATCTGTCATTGGCACAGACAACAAACTAGGTAGTAATTGTGGTTGAACGCGTCTTTCAGCTTATGTTTTTTGGTATTTAATTTAAACAGGCACTGAAACAGGGTGCTGTTTCTGCACGATTAGCGTACAGGGTTCTGCATTGAGTTACAGTGCCTGCTCTTATCCAGCTAACCCAGACAGCCCCGTAACATGAAGTTATGGAGGAGCGTAAGCTAAAGAGAAAGAGTCCCAGGACCTCCACCAACACTGCGGCCCCGACCGGTGGCTCTGGCCGGAAGACCAACGCTTCCTCCGGGGTACGGCACGTCGGCTCCAGCCAAAAGAACAAAAATAGGAGGTAGATATAATCTGTTTACCTTCCTCAGAAATAATAGAGCGAAAGTGAGAGGTTGCTTGTCAGATGTTTGTTTAAATCTTTGCACTACTGTTTAGTTATTCAATGTAATATTATTATATTTTATTGAATATATTGTGCATTTGATATTTAATATTTTATCTGTTATCACGTTTTCTGTTGTTTCTTGTCTCTTCCAGGGGAGTGAGAGACAAACCCAGGCATCATGTGGGTTTGGGCGGGAGGCCTAATCAGAACCAGGGCCCGGCAGCACCGATCATCCAGCACTCCTTTCTGACCGATGTCTCGGATGTACAGGAGATGGAGAACGGCCTGCTCAGTCTCCTCAACGACTTCCACTCGGGGAAACTACAAGCGTTTGGTAGTTTGGACTTTTCACCAGAAAAACATATGGTCAGAGAGCCACAGATACAGATGGACCTTTAATATGTTATGTCCCCTCTCCCTGTCAGGCAACGAGTGCTCCATTGACCAGATGGAGCAAGTGAGAGAGATGCAGGAGAAGCTGGCGCGTTTGCATTTTGACCTCCACAGCGAGGTGGACGAAATGCCCGAGGACCAGAGGAAAGTAGCCTGCGACACCAACATGGACAACCTACTTCTTAACGTAAGACCGACTTTATCCTTTCTGTGTTTTTGTTCATGTTTAAGCAGTAGCAACACATATGTCATAGCTTGTGATGTCGTCCTGCTCCTGAAAATCCGATGTGATACAGCACATTGAACTCCTTGTACTTCTTAAAGTACTTCATTGATGTGGTGGAGCTACTCAACATCCCAGCAAGGATTTAGCTGCTTATTCCCCTCCTAAGTGTTAAACTCTTAAAGAGTTTAGTCAGACGATTGTTGCTTGTCGAACCAGGATCAACGATTTCTGTACAAACTGCTCGCATGTTTAACAAACTCAAAATGTTCTTTCTCTCCACAGCTTGAGGAGCTGAGTTCTTCGATGTATCCTTTTTGATATTCAACATGCTTCAAGCATCATATTCGTCCTTATAGCTTTTGAAATAGAGGTAAAACTTCTTTGCCGTCAGGTTTCCCGTTTTTCCTTTACCCTGCTTCACCAGTCAGAAACTGAATCTAGCCGACTCCCAAGAGATCCCGAGGACTGCCAGTATGTGATCTTCTCTTCTCAACCTCATCTGACCCAGACCCATGTCACCTAGAGGGGCTGCAACAGATATGGTAGAGTTGAGGCAAGCTGGAGGCTCTATTCCTCTTTAAGTATTGTGGCAGTTCACCAGCGTTCCATGTCTGTAAAGCAGCATGGATTTATTGTAAGACGTCACAACAGGGGTGCAGCAGAGCCTTATTTTTCACTGCCGACAGTAAATATAGTACAAAACAGTTATAATGTTGTCTGACTAAACAGCAGGATGACAGTAATTAACCTCCTGAGATATGATTGAATGTATTCTCTTATAGTCAGAGTTGTATAGAGGGAGTCTACCAAATTTTAAGCTACTGTCTGACCTACAGTACTTTACATATTGGCATTGCTGCATCCCTGTCACGACCTGTTTAAAGTCAAGTTTCTAAATAGTTTAGATTTGCAATACATTGCTAACCAAAGTGATATTGATACAAACTACTCACCTTGTTTTGTCCAGCAGTTGATTAATTCACAAGTCCTTGAAATGACATCTACAGTGTTTGTTTATCAGCTTTGTTTTAAGTAAACTGACTTCAAGCTTACTCCTTTAGCTATTCTCATATATATGTGTGTGTGTGTGTGTGTGTGTATGTATAACCTCACTCTGTTGCACTTTGTGTTGTTGTCACAGGTCACTAAGTGTCTGTAACGGCACAAACTAAAGACCCAAAGCTAAACTTATCAAAATACAGATGCAGAAATCATGTTTATAACTGTTTCTCAACATATCGCTTTAATACCAATCATGTATCTTATTTTAGAGACAATAAAAAAAAGTTTGAATTATTGTTAAATCTAAAAAAAAATAACATTTAAACAGTAGAAACTGCACAGTTTGTGATTTTTGCATATGACTTCTTGCTACATGCGAGTGGCCTGATATCAGCTCCAGCACCTTGTTCAGTATTGAATATATATTTGCACATATCCACGCAACATGCAAAACACACTGCACATCATCACTCGTGTGTCGGTTTTGACGCTGGAAAATACTGAATTATCCAAATGTTGACGTCGGAAGCATGCCTTAAATTTCTGATTTAAAGCATTTTTGCCTTATTGGTTCTAACCTGTTGAATTGACTTGCATAGAGCAGGTTCTGTATTGAGATAATATGTGATCATGTGACACTGCTTTGACTGTAAATCCTACTTTAATTTGCCACTTCTTATTTTAACCAGTGTTGTTGGGGGATTAAGTGTTTTACTATTTTGAATGTTTGGTGGTTGTATTTTTATTGACCTAATAAATGTGTTGTCTGAATCTCCTGGCTACGTCACCATCTGAGGATCCTTGTGAATAATGTGCATATTTTCATTTTACTTAATGCATTAATGCACAGATTGTTGATTTGGCAGCAATATGATTTTATCCACAAAGGAATGCACTTATCAAATAAGTGTGGACATGAATTGACTTTTGTTTCTGCTGACAACCTGTTTGCTTCTTACCATCTAGTTACTTATTAATGTGCAGGAGGCTGTGCAGCCTGTGTGCAGGAATGTGCGCATCCTTCTGTTGATGCGTCTCTAAGGTAACTGAGCAGAGCGCCACACCAGCAGCCTGTTATTCAGCACTCAGCGTTTTATTACAGAGCTACATTAGAACATTAGAACCTCAAATCGTGCGCGAGAAGAACAATGTCGACCCCTCACTCGGTGAAGCGGTGGCAGCTCAGCGGGACGGACTATGAACCGCAGCGAGGCCGCAGCCTGCAGTCCGGAACCCGCTTCAGCACCTGGACCCCCCTGAACAACAGGACGAGCAACCTGCAGGTCAGGACGAACCCACGCTCGAGGCCCGAAACACTGTTATTAAATTAGATTTCTTTCTATTTATAACCACCAGATGCCAGGGAACACCACGTTATTTCACTGTGCAGCATATATGAGACTGTCAGATTTAAATTCTCCGTTTTAATATAAATTAACAGCTTAGTCGGCCAATTAGCCTGATTGCAAACAGGTGCACAAACCGACTGAAAGTCCCTCTCGTTATGCTTCCGGTCGCACTACAGAAGATATATTATTGACGTTAAGGTAAAGTCATTATTTTATCATTCAGTTGCATATTGTGAATTGTGTGCAGAGGTGGTTTGAGGCGTCCCGTGTCCTGCAGGAAATGCATGCAGGGGAAGGCACGTTGCAACGTACTGAACTGTATTATTAAGGGTGAAGATATGCTGAGTTGCCCAATCAATGTATGTAGAAAATGCATGTAAACTAAGATAGAGGACACTGTTCAGACATTTTCTTTCTTTTAAATATCATGACTGGTCATGTAACGATCTTGGTAGTTGTCCAGTCTCTTGTTAGCCAATGTGATGCAACAATAAATAAATATTGTCGCTACCAAAGTTCCACATACAGTAAGGGTGTTTCTCTTTGTTCTTCTTGAAACTAAGGGATTGAATCGCAATCCCTTAACCAATCGAGCATGAGCCACATCATGGGAGGACAGATGCCTTTCACATTTATTTCATCTCTTATGCAATGAGGTGCACCTTCCACACGTCCTTCACTGACTGTATAAAGCTTTTTGGTTTCCTTTTTCCCCATTTGCTCCCAGTTATTTGAGGAGAGGATCAACCTTGTGCTGCACTGGTTTGACCTGTGGACTGACAGACAGAGGAAACACCTGTTGCACACTCTGCTCACACGATGCACCAAGTCCCAGCTCAAGTAAGCTGTCTCTTCCCCTTTTGTTTGTGTATTTGTGTCATTACAAGTGAGACCAAGGTTATTGCATTTGTTTTGTTTTTCAGGTTCTGCAAGGATTTGCTGATGGAGACGGTTCCTGTGACTCAAGTGGACTTCACGTCTGTGCTGCCACGCTTCTTGTCCCTGTATGTGATGTCGTTTCTGTCCTCCCGTGAGCTCAGCTCCGCTGCCCAGGTCAGCTGGCACTGGAGGGTCCTTGCTGAGCAGGTGAGAGGTGAGATATTTGATGTTTACTGGAGTTTCCACGCTTACATTAAGACATTTTTATTGCGTTCCCTCCTCCTCTCTCCTCCCAGGACTGTCTCTGGGCCGGCCGCTGCATCTCAAGAGGCTGGTTCCTTCCCTACACTCCTGCAGAGAAAGAGTTTGGAGCGTGGAAGAACCACTATGTCTCCTGCGTCTCCACGCTGGACTGGCTCACCCCCAGGGAGGCGGCCGAGCAGTACGGGACCCTCAACCAGCACAGCACGGGGATGACGGAGGAGGAGGAGGAGGAGGAGGAGGAGAGGAGGAAGGAGAGGAGGATCAGACAGATGATCAGAGACAAACTACAGGAGGAGAAGAGTGAGAAAAGAAAGACATCAAATGATACAAGATCTGAAAATGATTAACACTTTTTTGAGGGTGTCATCAAAGTTGCACGTTTATATCTTATGATCGTGACTCTTCCTTGTTTGTCTCTGTCCCAATCTTCTAAGCAGATATGTCTTTCAGTTACCTCACAAAGCTTGTACTTAGAGACCAGTGCTTCTGTCTGTGATGTTTGCAGAACACGCTTTGAGAACCAGGAAAGCCTGGGGCAGCTACACCAAGCCAGAAGGAGGCAGAGGTGGAAGAACTCAGACAGGGAGGCGCGGCTCTGGAATAGCATTCAGCTCTTGGCCCTCTCTCTCCTGGCCTCCGAGGACTGTTGGGTCTCCCAGCGTCTGTCTCAGCCTGGACAGGGGACAGCCCATGACTGCAGCCCAGAGCTTGGAGGGAGTCCAGACCTCCATTCCTAGCAGGTGATTGTCTGTTGACGGTGACACATTCACTTCCCCTCGATGATGTCAGCGTTTTATGATACAATACATTTTATAATATAATGCAACCCGATGTGAGAGCTCTGTAATAAATCCTGTCTTTGTAATATTAAACTTCAAAATCTGTCCCCAGAATGGTCCCATTGAGGCCATTTATTATTTTTGGTCTAAAGCTGTGATGTGAGTGTAAACCAGACCTCCATCTTCTCTTTCAGTGAAAGACTGAGCAAAGCCAGAGGAGCGCTTTCCTCCTTCACCAGCAGCCCTCCACTGCCACACAACCTCTGCGTGACCCCTCCTGCCCTCTTACTGCTGATCTCCAACAGGATTCCTGCCTATGAGGTAAATAACAAGTACAGAAAGAGTCTTAAATCAGCATCTACTTAGTAAGAGAAAAAGCAGCGATGAAGAGTGTAAAAAAGAAAAAGGGACATTGTCAAGTTGAGCATCTCATATTTCTCCCCGTCTGCTCTTTTCCTTTCTCCCTGTGCTACATCTAGTTGGTGCTGAGTGGCGTGAAGGATGGAGTGGTTGTGGTTCTGTACGACCACAGAGGGGCTCTCTCAGCTCTGTTAGCCCAGGTGGAGAGGACTATTTCTGGGCAGAGAGCTCAGAGGCTGGGCCTGCTAGCTCCAGGAGGAACGGAGGAAATCCATCTGCTCCATGGTGAGAATTAATAATCCTGTGTATCTTAATGTGTGGAAACACTGCTGGGGTTAGCTCTAGTCCAAGTTCAGCCTCCAGTGCTGGAAGTTTATCTCTCAGGATACTGTGAAGCACATCTGCTAAAACCATTTCATGGCTTATTTTATTATGATAATACCTTTTTTTTTAATTTTTTTTTTACAGTAAGTCTAAAGCTACTTTGGTCCCTTGGCTTAGAACTAATCATCATAAATCTTGCATCGATTTTACATTGTTCATGCACCTTTTTGTTTAACTGTTTTTTTTATTTTTTATAAAATGATTTCAAACACAGAGATACACTCAAAGACTCCACAACGTAACTCTGTGGCACAGTAATTAATGTACTTATTCTCAGTTATCCTTTTTGCCTGTGAAGTCGCCATTCGGGAAAATTCTATATATTTTTGTTGTTTACTTCATACACAAGTTTGTCAACTTACCTTTCAAACTTGACCGGTTAAAGTTGAATATGCACGTTGCTCAAACTGAAAACTGTTAAGTTAACTCTTTTAAGGAACCTTATTTTTCTGCCTACAAATCCTGATTCTGTTGACCCTCCAGGTCGTAGCCTGTCAGAGAAGACATTACTGATCCCCGACCATAGAGAATTCTGGGAAAAGCTGTGTGGCTGGGTGGCACCAGCTGAGGAAGGAGGAGGGATTGACATGTTCTCCCCGTTGGCTGCATCTGGTAGGTAGACACAGATGTTGGAACACACACACACTTCTCTGTAATCTGCATCTTCCGTCTCTGTCTCACTAACCTCCACTCTGTCTCTTGCTTTCTCTCTCCTCCTCAGCATCGGGAGTGGCTCTCATGCACGCTCTCTCTACTCTGACGGGTCTGGAGGTTCTGGCGCCTATTGGTTTTGCCACCGGAAGTTTCCAGAACAGTGAGTCACCATGCACAAGACTGAAACACCTCCAAAAAGACATCTAAGATGTGAAGCATCATGTTAAAGCCACAATAAATAGTTTGTTTCTTCACCCTCTCTCAGTCCTGAGTGAGTGGTCTGACGGTAGTGTGTGCACCGGACTCTCGGAGCATCAACCAGACGCCCCGCCACTGCAGTTTGTGTGTGAGAGTGTACTGCTGGGCTGGTGCAGACAGGCTCAGTGGATGGAGGAGGCTCTGGGGGAGCTGAAGGGCTGCCGGGGGCCGCAGCTACAGCGCGTCAGCCTCCAGGCCAGGGGCCGGGCGCTGGGTAGGTTTTCACATGCGTTTGGATTTAAATGCACCCACACACAGCTGGAGCAATGGCAGGTTTAAACAAATGCCTGCATACTCTGTGTCCTGTAAACTTTCTGAGGAATCTATTCATATATTTATAGGTCATTTTCTGTGGGAGAAAATCTGCCTCGAGGAGCTGTGTGTGTCTAAAGATCTAAATGAGGCTCTGACGGAGGGACTCACTGCTCTCACAAGACAGGAAGAGGTGGAAATGTTTAATACACTTATACATTACAACAAGAGCAAAAAATGTTTGTTTCAAGTTGCATCATTAACTGCGGATAAGAGTGTGTGTTTCTTTATTTCTGCTCTCACATCTTCAGACCAGACCTCTGGAGTTTCTTGCCGCCTTCCTGACAAGATGGAGTGAGGAGAAGGAGGGAGAAGAGACTAGTGGAGGGAAGAAGGGGAGAAACAAAGGAGCAGATGATTTCTCATTGGCACAACACGACTCAAAGAAATGTGTCGGCCTGATACCTGAGCTACCACAGGTGTGTGATTTTAACTCGTCCATTCAGAGAAGGTTGAAGGAGCACACTTGATCTTTACAGCTCGTTTTGTCTTTAGATAGTGTTCGATTGGAGAGGTGCAGCTGCCAGAGAGCTCCACCACAGCGAGTGTCTTTATCTGGGGAGACTAGGCGCTGTGCTGAAGGTAGGTCTAGACTGTAACATTAAAAACACCAACTGGAAATTTAGTGACACTATCACATGTTTAGATGCTGAGAGGCCATTGTTTCAGGTGCAGTTCCACCTGACATTAATCAGAGACTGAATGAACATTATGTAATGCTGTCAAATCAAGTCCAGAAAACAGATGCAGACACTTTTTAGGAACTGGACCCTTTCAACAAACTACAGGGAGTTCATATAATACCTTTTTAAACTAGGTGTTGGTTGATGGTTCTACAGCTGCATGGCCTATTCTTCCTCACTTTGTTATTAGAATCTCATCTTGAGAAGGATTTTTTGAGATGTTTTCAGAGCAACTACACATCAAGCAAGTGTTGTTTGTCAAAGGTTCAGAGATTACCAATGTATTTATCCGATACCTTCTCTCTTGTGCTGAAGGTGTACCAGGAGCCTCTTACAGCAGCTCTCAACTCCAACAGAGCCATCCTCAGCTACGCTGACATCCACATTGTCCTCAGCCCTGTCACACAAATACTGGCGCTCAACAGGTACACACACACACACACACACACAAGTGTTTGTATGACACTGTCTTGTTTGCGTGCCTCTGTGTGGACATGACATGATATATGTGCGTGTGTTTGCTGCAGGGTGTTTCAGGCAGATTTACAAGCCAGGCTGCAGCAGTGGGGTGCAGAGCAGTGTGTTGGAGATGTGCTTGTAAAACTGTGCTCAAAACTCAGAGTTTACACCAACTACCTCAACAACTACACCACCGCCCTCAGCACCATCGACAAGGTACAGTCAGACCATGCATGAAGCACGTAAACCAGGTCTAGAGTGTACAGCGGTCTGAGAAAGCTTTGCCTGTCTGATCTCAGTGCAGGGAGACGAAGCCTCCGTTCCGGGCTTTCCTGAAGAGAGCAGACAGAACTCTTGCAACACACATGCTGAGGTAACATGTACACTCATCTTTATTGGTTTTCAGGGCAATCGTCAGACAATGAATTGATTAAACCGCGGTGTGTTTGTGAAGCCTGCAGGAGCTGCTGCTGTGTCCAGTGTGGAGGATACAGGAGTATGTGACTCTGCTTCAAGTGTTGTCTTTGCACACACACACCGGCCACCCTGACCACACGCACCTGTGCTCTGCCCTCAGCACCCTGCTGGGGTTCAGAGAGTTCATACAGAAGGTACAACCGCCACACGGAGCGTGGAGGCAGTATCTCACGCTGTGTTTGATTCATTCAGCATTTCTCACATGTTTGCTTCTGTTTCAGTTGAAGCGTAACTCAGAGAGAGACAGACTGATGGAGGAAACGCAGCAGATGATCCAAGGCTGTCCGGTAAAATCACAGCTCCCTCTTTTTCCCCACGCTCTCAAAACAACATCTAAAACTAACATGTTGAAGTATTTTTATGTTAATATGGTGTGTGTGTGTAGAGCCTCAGTGAAGGAAACAGGCAGCTGATAATAACACAGGATGCTGCTTTACTCAGGAGCCCTGATGAACAGATTCCTGAATCACTCAGGTGTGTGGTGATTTGTATTTGTATTGACTTAGTAGATGTTTGATATGATATTTTTTGATATTTACTTTTTCTTGTTAAGCACTTTATTGCTTAAGTAGCACTTTCTAATGACGCATACATCGGGAAACCTTTGCACAATCAAACACTGTATGTTTTATATTACATCACTACAGATTGTAAATCTAACCAAGACGTTTTTTTTTCCTGTTTGTGTGCATGATTAGGACCTTCGAGCAGGTGTCTGATGTGGGCCTGTTTCTGTTCAACGACGCTCTGGTGCTGACGCGGCGAAACGTGCATCACACACCGTTCACGTTGGCTCACCGGAGCACACACACTTTCATGGCCTCTGTGGCTCTCTCCAGCCTGGCTGTCAGAGCGATCACACACTCGCGCTGTGAGTTTGTACCATTTAAAGAATACGATGTGTGTTGAATGTTGCCTCGGCTTTCATTCTTTTCTGTAATCTTCAGTGTGTCATTAATAACGTCGTTGGTGTTTTTGATAACCTTTGCCACGTTAAAGGATTATTAATGTCTTTCTCTGTAGATGTGCGTCATGCTTTTGTCCTGGAGGGTCCTTGTCGTTCTTGGGTTTGTGCCACAGAAAGAGGAGAGGAGAGAGAGCACTTCCTGTCTGTGCTGCGTTCAGCCACAAGCTCTGCTCTGACTGGACACCAGTGACGGCGCCGTGACGACGAAACACCGGCAAGACAAGAAGAGGTTTGGACGCCACTGTTTGCCTTTTTTTACATGATAAGTTAAAAAAATGTTTTTAGGAAATATCAAACGGCAGTTATTTGTCCACAGCACACACGTAGCCCTCCTGCCACTGGTGTTCTGAGTGTCTCACTTTAACCTGAAAAGTATTCAGATTGTAGTTTAGATTATGAGCAGAGTATTCCTGTTGTCACAATAATTACTTAACATTAGCATAATGGAATATGGTCTTTTTTTTGCATTTGCAATATTTGGAAAATTGCAAGAATTTTATCACATTTTGCACGATCCTGCTTTTTATCAGCTGGAAGGTGCAACACATTACAGTACTTGTAAACCAGTATCTTGTTCATTATATACATCTCTATACCTACATCTCCTGATTCTGCACGCGTGGCTCAATAACTGAAGAACTGTGTTGACTCGGCATCAGCTAGACATGTTTAACCTCGTCTAGGGATTGTAAAGAAAAAATCAACATTTGTCCTTTTATACTTCAACACAATACTGTTGCGAAAACAGATAAATACATCAAAATACTTTGACAGTACGGCTGATGTTGCTCATTTAAATTGTTGCATCGTGAACCTGTTGTTTTACAGTATGTTGATGTGTGATCGCGTTGGATGTTAGAAAGTCGTTTGAGTTATGTTTGCCGATCTTGTTTTGTTTTGTCTTTTGTGTTGAGTAGCTTTGTGTAATAAAACTCCACACGTACTTACTGTAAACTGAGAATATTGTGGGTTTTGCTTTTAATGTAATCACGTCATGCATTCATTCCTTTGACATTAAACCAGTAACATTAGCTCAACAATCCCAGCATCACAAGTAGCATCTTTCTTTTCCAGGTATAAAAAGTCTTTATTGATAACCAAAAATAACACTAATGTCACATTTCGGATATTATCACTATCATGTAACTGCATTACAACACATCACTTATACACGTATGTACATTATTGCCACCTATTTAAAGAAACCTCCACGTGATCCATCCTTAGAGATTAGATGAATGGCTGAGTCATTATCAGCACACCTCAACAGATACAGTACTTAAAGATCAATACAAAGGCTGACGATACAACATATAACATACCTAATGTTCTAGTATTACTCTTCAGTTTACTTTGTTTTGATCACGGTGACATCTTCACACCAATCTGTGACATTGGAACTACTTTCTAAAATGTTGTGTAGGTTTATTAACGGCTAATACAATGTGGGCACATTGAACATCGACACAAAGCATTGTTGTATGTTGCAGTCTTCAGAGCACCACAGATGAGGATTAGGTAATAGTGAAACAGTACTTTGATAGTTTGAAATTGAATATGATTATTGACTATTTTATTTTTTATATCATTTATAATTCAGTTTAATATCTGATGTAACTATGAGGATGATGTAAACTGACCTTTTACAATATTCTGGTGTCTGTAAAAGCATCACTGTTGTCACAGTTTGCGGTTAACTAGATTTGGGTTGTCGTTGTTGTTGTTGATTTGTGCTGCTCTTTCCCAGTGGCTGGATGAGCGGCTGGCGGCTGACTCTTGCTCTGCGGCCCCACGTTTGCTGCCGTGCTGTTTGTCCCTTTCTGGGAGCCGTAGCCCTTCGGTTTGGGGATTCTCGTAGGTCCCGGTCGTCGGAATGCTTCTGGAGGTATCTGTGGAGAAACATTGAGAAACAATGAAGTAAAGTGGGGAAACGAGTGACTTACAGCAAAGAAAATGAGGAAGAAGTGGGGAGAATACACAGTATAGAGGGGAGTATTGTGACTTTCTCCACAAGCTGAATTGTTTCCAGTAGCCTCGTAAAGATCTGATGCAATACTGATGATGACCACTAGATGATATCAAATCATATTTTATGGGCAGTAAATGACCACAGTGCCAAACTGTTACTGCATGACTGCTGCACCTTTTGTCTTTTGGATGACAAAAAGCTAATTCAGATTTTGACATGAATGAAAACGAGGCCTCTGCATAACATAATTAAAATGCACAACATCCTTTCAACCATGTTGCATATTCTTACATGTTCTGTAAAATGTGATGAACATTGCAAGCTACAATAATTGTGTTTTCTGTTGTCTGTCTTATGTACATCATTTAGTGTCCTTTACCGGCTTTAACGTGTAACGCTGCTACAATCACTCGATTAATCAATTAAATGAGCAAAAGAAAATTTAGCAGCAACTATTTTTATGATCTTTTATGATGTTTTTTTTTCTATTCTCTTACATTTTATAGAAGATGAATCAATAATGAATAAAAGTTGTTGGTTGCAGCCCTCGGAATTATTTTGTTTTAAATATTTACCTCCTTTACTGTATGAAAAACTAAGATTTCTGTCTTGCCGATTAAAGACGGGTTTTTTTCAAAGCTGTCCCTAATATTTTTGTTTATCTTATCATCAATAACTGCGTGTTTGTTGCCTAGAAACCAGTGTTTGTCCTTCGGGGCACAACCTGCAAACAAGAAGAGAGAATATTGTGGGAAACATCACATTTCTCAGATTCTCAAACAACTTACTGCTCCGTTTACTGTGTAATCACATTTCAATCAGTGTGTTTACATGTGCTGCAGCGTGCCAGGAGGCTGAGGTAGTATTGGCACTTATACAGTAGAAACAGTATCCTGTTTACTGCGACATCATGAGTCACCTCAGCAACAGCTAGCACACTGAGCCATGTACACTCCTCAGTCATAGTGTCGTTTATGCTCTTCTTGTAAATAAGCAAGATACAGTGATTTTAATAAACAGACACGACCTGATATGAGCAAATATACTTGTGGATGTAACCTCACTACCTGCTATTAATGCAGTATTCTTGGAGGTTGGCCACAAAATATTGCATTACATTTTGGGTTTTTATGTTTTATTCATGTGTCTCGATTTCTAAATTAGCTCATAAATCATACAGTTAATAATTTTAAGAACACAGGTCAGCTGTCTGAGTCTCTTTTATCCTTTTCAAGCTAATAGTTTGCCTTTTGTAATTATTTTCTTCAAAGTTATCGAGGGATCTAATTGGCACATATAACTTTCAATCACAATAGCACAGCTTGGTTCTTCCTTTTCCTCAGCTCCTATTTTAGAAAAGAAAATTGCATTTTTGCTGACAAGACGCCGTTGCACACCACCCCAGATAACCCATTTGAATTAAAGAGCTCCTTCTTTGACAAAATGTGCCATCGATCTGGTCTACACTTCTGCAGCTGTGTGAAACTGAAACTCCTCAGTGTTTCCATGAGTTTCATCACACCGCTCACTTCATTCCCAAGCAACACGCACCAAAACGTCCCGCTGGAGAAAAGCACTTGGATGTGTTCACGTGCAGCTTGAGGTTTTGAGAATTAGCAAAAACCTGCAGTGAACTATATCCTTAAATATTCATACGGGGTATGAATTTTAGAATAAGTCGGGTCTGTGCTCCAGCAAAGCTAATGGGCCAGAAAATCTGTACGGGCTCCGCGTCACGGGAGTGTTTGACATGGAGAGAGGCCGTAATGTGCGGCTTTGTTCTCTCGTGTATCAGCGGTGCAGCAGGAGTTCATCCAAGTACTTCCTCTGCAATACTGGCCCGGCTGTTCCTGTGGAAACCAAACACGAGGTTTGTTTTGGTGCTTGTGTTGCGGTGGGAGCGAGGCTATACTTTCACAGTGTCTACCCCTCTCACGCGCAGTATGAAGCCTTGTGTTTGGAGAAAAAAAAGGGTTCCACTGTTTGTTATTCTTCCCTGGTTTTACTGTGCCCGTCGGTCAAGGTGATCAAACTCCTCTGCGGTTATTGGCATTGTGGGCTAAAAGGAGGAAATCCGCTCTCGCCTGCAGTGTAATGCTCAAAAGTGTAAATGCAGTTTAGAAATTAGACTTTCTCGGCTGCGCTTCGTTCACATCAGAAGCTGATTCAAACATGTTTATAATGTTCCATAGTGAGTTTGGTGTGATTACAACCTCTCACTGTAGGCTTTTCAATGAAATGCTCTTTGGCTCCCAGCGTGTCACCGGATACTCATTTTATCAGTCTGGCCGGGTACCATGAGCAGATCTCTGTCGTCCTTGGCTGAACCAGATGAGTACGGTTTATGAATCAAGAAGGTCTGAAGTGAGTCAGGGAGTAATTGAGGTCGCAGACAGTAATCCCAGCTGCTGGATGCCTTCTCAAGTAGTGTTCTAATGAATAGCATCTTGGTTAGCCCCTGCATCATTGCGCCCAGACTGCTTTGTATCCGGTTTCTCCAGCTGTGCTCCTTCACACTCATTCAATTTAATGCTTGATTTAATCATGTCCTCCTTGTATCACTGGTGTGTGTGTGTGTTGGGTTTCGTTTGGCGTTTTCCTGCAACAGTTGTCTTGCTCCGTCTAGATGACACTGAGGGCTCGGTGCGTGCTTTATTGTGTTCTGTTGAATTGATCAGCTCTGTCCGTCTGTTTGTTGTACGGTGAAGAGTAATGTTGCATCTAATTCAAGCTCTTCTGATTTTAATTTTCTATTTTTGTAAAATGTTTGTAAGAGTTTGGAAAGGAGGATGAATCCTGGACTACTTTGTGACATTATTTGCCTTTATTTCTTTGGACTGTTGGCTACATGTTGAGCTCAGTTAGCTTTCTGGATGTGTATGAAGCAAACAGCACTAGTCAGTGTCTGATAAACACACAAGTAATCCCCAGAAATATGCAGTTTGTATCAACTTGCTCTGCATGCATTCTTTTCTTGCATTAGCGTTGCATTGAGACGAGACATTAATGAATGTGCTGTGACAGATGCAATCATCCCACATCCTCCCCTCTGTATCCTCTCCCACAATCCCTTCCATCCCCTCATCATCATCATCATCTTCTGGCCTTCGGTACAGATTAAATTTAACAAATCGCACGTTATGTGGTAACTTTTCCACCGTGGGCACATAAAACCACATGTAGAGGAATGCATATACATGGAGAAACATTCGTACGTTGCACTGATGATTCATTTCAAAGCACATGATTCATGGGAGAAATCAAAATAAAACAGAAGTTTTGGGTTACTACCCAATGAATAGCAAGCTAAGTGAGACTTTCTGCTCAAAGACCACTGAGGTTAAACTATCAACAAATACATTAGTGTTTCTGAGGAGGTTCAGCTTTTCTGAAAGGGCTTTTTATGTTTAAAGTCTGTTTCCCGGGGGTGCGTATACATATAAATGGGCAACAAATGGCAGTTTTTCTCTTTCTTCCAGCACCGACAGATTTGATTTTAAGCATTTTCTTTGTCATAACATGTCGATTCCAGATGGATCATTTTTAGAGTGCCCCAGCACTCGGTGGGTATTGAGTGTCTTGCTCAAGGACACCTCAACACGTTGGATGATGGCCAAGGAAAACTGAGTATTAATATCTTAAATAACTGTTTTGATCTGCTGTTCATTTAGTTTGTCCTTGAGGACCAGAGAGAGATCAACTTGTCTGAATGTTTTTTATTATTCCATTTTTAAAAATGTTGTGTAATATTGTAACATACTATCCTGTAACATACTAACCATGTTCTAGTTATATACAGTGGAGAAGAGCAACTCTAATTCTACCAAATCTGGGACTTTTTTAGATTCACCTCCAACAGCAGCTCTTTGGCGCAGCAGCCTGAGGGTTTAAAGGTTTCAAGCAGAGTTTCCGTTGTATCATCTAAGAGAACACCAAGTTCACGTCCCGCTGGTTTTCGTTCTCGGTCTCTGGGTTTCTGTGTGCTGGATGTTAGAAGAAACTATGACATCAGCCTATGATTTTAACTCAAGCAAGCAAACACATGTGAGAATCCCAGAAGGTTTTTCTTTTTTGTCTTGTAATCTGGACAAGTGTGAGCACAAAGGTTTTTACAGACAACTCTTCCACTTGGGTATCATTTAATTAGGTCTAACAAAGTCTTGACAGTCTTTATGTTCCAATCTGAGAAAGTGAATTGTAATCTTTTGACTCCACATGGTGTCTCAAGTGTTAAAGGGTTACTCTGCATGCACCAAAAATCAAATCAAACAACTGATTTCAATCTAATCGCATTTTTCTCATATTATTTTTTTATTTTACACATTCAGAACATGCTGGATTAAGTGAATAAATGAAATTGGCAAGCATGGATGACAAACTATAAAACATAACACTTCTTTTTGCACACTTTAATTCTCAGAAAATCAAACAACTTAATCATAATGCAGTATGTGTAATATGAAGTATAAAAACTGGTATGATACATCAGTGTGAATAGTCAGACTACATGGCAAATTGGCCACTGAGTACAATACAGTAAGTGCACATAAGTTAAAACCTGGTGTTATGTCAAATTAAATCAAATGGTAGTGCTTTCAAATGGTATTGTTTTCTCATGCAGGCAAACACTTGGAACTTAATCACACATAACCAAGCAAAACAAACCAAAGGAAAAAGGAAACATTCAAACCCTGGTTTAAGAAAAAATCATAAATCAAGTAAAACAGACATGTAAATGTATTGGGGTATAGAGTTGGGGTTTAAGGGTCTATGGTTGTCTAATTGTATCTCATGGGCAGGATTCAGCAACAATGGATGGGATGGATGGTTTGGGGGATTATCAAGTCAATCATAGACATTACTTACTGTAATTTGTGATGGCCTTTGGATTGGGGTGGAGGTGGGCTTAATCGTGATGCTACTTGTGATTTTGCTGTTGCCCTTTGCAGTAGAAGTACTGCAATTTGCAAGCACCTGAGTCCTTTGCTCCTGGAGTCCAGGTGTGTGGCATGGACTCGGTGTTTGCGACGGTGTGCTGATGCTCTGAATGAAGGGGGTCCCTAAGTGAATGTGGATTTTGTTGTCCTCCGTGGTGATGACGTTTGCCCCAGAGCTGTTAGACCTCTGGACCTGCCAGTTGCTTTGCCTTTCCGGGGTCACGCGGAAGATGGCGTGCCCTCCAAGAACCTCCACTGGCTCCGTGGAGAGGGAGCGCTCAGGGGTGCCGGTCGTGACCGACACAATTTGTATAGGTGACATTGCTCTGTCTGGTGTTACAGAGCCACAAGAGTCTGGAGTCATTGCTCTCGAGTATGTAGCCATAGTGAAAGGTGATAGGGCCCTATCTGGTGAACACAGTTCGTCAGAGATTGGGGAACCTTTAGATTTGGGGGAAATGGATTTCGCAGTAGGGGATATGGAAGCATTCTGGATGATGGTAATTCTCTGTTTGGGTGGACCTCCACTTGTGGGTATGACGGCAGTGCTGGTGAATGACTGGGTGTTTTCTGTGGTCGGGCTGGTGATCTCTAGGGTTGCTGTGTTATGTCCGTGGTCAGGAGTCACTTTAATGTGCAGAGGCTGCCCAGGACTGTGGGTCAACACAACATCTCCCGACTGAACGTGGTTGCCGTTCTGTCGTGGTTGCACTTTACCGTTCACCTGATGGGGCGTGTCTTTGTTTTTCAGGAACGGGACTCGGGCTCTTCTCAAGTTGTTTAGATTATTTACGTTAGTAATCAGTGCGGGGCTGCATTTGGTGAGCTGAATCTCGTTGCTGTAATTTGCGTTATCTTCAGGTTCGCTCTCGTCGTACAGCTTCCCGTTAACCACAGCACGTTCCAGTGGGGCTGTCTTACAGCTGGGAGACATGACGTCAAGTGGCTCTGTTTGAACTTCCTTGGTAGAAACATGAAGGTCTGAAAAGCGCCTTCCGTTCATGCCGGGGCGAAGACTTTTGCTAAAGCGCCTGTATCTCTCAAGCTCTCTCGTGAGTGTCTCCATTTCTCTGGCCAGTTCTTTGTTTCTGACCTCCTGCTGGGTCAGTTTCCTCTGGATTGTAGTGTGGTCAGTTTTCATGTGGCAAATGGACTCCTCTGTTCCCATGTATTCATGGATCTTCTCTTTCAGAGCTGCTACCTCTCTGGTCAAATGACTAGACTTTGCCTCCTCGTCCTTCAAGCGTTTATAAAGAACATGCTCTTGGTTGCACTCTTTCTTCTCAGCCAGTTGGTACTTTGAAAGTTCTTTTCTGGATATTTCCAGCTCCTCCATCAAGGCTTTACCTTTCTCTTGTTCATTGGTGAATCTTTTCTCCAGTGATTCAAACTCCTCTGTTTTCAAGAGGTCTCCTTCTACCACCTTCATGTCCTTTAATTTGCGTCTGAGGCGCTCAACCTCTTGTGTCAAATCCTTTACTTTGTTGTCTTCTTGTTGGAAGCGGTTAGCAATGGGTGTTTTGATGTTCTCCTCTTTAGCTTTGCTTCTCACGTATTCTCTTTCTATGTTCTCAAGCGACTGCAACCTTTTCGTCATCATATTGATTTTAGACTCCAAATCATTGCTCTTTTCCTCTTCAGCAAGCAACTTGGCCTTCAAGTCATCCCTTTCCTTTGTGGCGCTACACATTTTCTCCTCCAGCTCAGCCTTTGACCTCAGTGCTTTCTTGCTCTCATCAATTAGCTTCTCTGTGACTGACGTAACTTTGTCCTGTTCAGCTTGAAGTTTGCCAGTGCTGCTCTGGACCTTGTTCTCCATTTGCTTGAGCTTCTCTGCCATTGCCTTTCTCTCATCCACCAGCATGACTGTCAGAGTCTTTAACTTGGTTAGATCTTCCTTCAGTGTCAGCTCTGTCTTTCCCAGTTGGCTTTCAGCAGCCTCCAGTTCTTTGACCCTGACTTTTAAGACTTCCAGCTCACTGGTCAGAACCTTTGACACTGTCCTCTCCTTCTCCAGGTTACTTTTGAGTGAGTTGCATTCTTGTTTGCTCTTGCTGAATGCGTCCTCTAATCTCTCCAAGTCCATAATTCTGTGGTTCAGTTTATCGACTTCGGCCTTCAAGCTTCGGCTTTGATTGGCCTCTTTCTCCAGTTTCTTGTTGAGGTCCCGGCAGTGGTCCTCCATTCGGATCAACTCTTCATCCTTTCCCTCCATTTCAAGTACCCTTTTCCGTAACTCTTCAAGCTCAGACATGAGGCTCGAGTTTCCACACTCACCACGGCTAATTTTGTCCCTCAGCTCCTGCAGGTCCTCCTCAGCTCGGCGCAGGGTCTTTTTGGTCTCCTCCAGCTCATCAAGCTGCCTGCTGAGAGTTGACAGCTTCTGGCGCATCTGCCTGCTTTGGGCATCCTCGCTGGTCAATTTGGCAGTCATGGCCTCTTGTTCCTGATGGTATCGACCGCCTTGGTCACGCAGCTCAGCCTCCAAGCGAAAGACCTTTTGCTCCTCTTCCTGCAGACGGGCATTAGCTGAGCTGAGCTCCTCCTGGGCTTGTGATGCACTGGCACTCAGTTCTTGGACCTTTGCGGTTTGTTGAGTCAGCTGCCCTGTGAGACGCTGCTGTTCATCCACAACAATCAATGCAAACGACTTGAGTTTTGTCAGCTCCTCCTTCAGACTTGTGACCTTTTGGTTGTTCTCGTCGTCCTTTCTTTCTTGGTAGGCTTTATCCTGATCAATTAACAGCTTCAACCTGAAAAACAACAAAAACAAGGCAAACATGTTTTTTGAGCAATCCAATTCAAAACCTGCATATACAATGTACATAAAATAGAGAAAGTGTTTGTTTACTATTGCAAAATTGTTACTTTCCCCCTGCAGTTGCATTTTCTATAAGTGAATATTGGAGCACCACATATTTAAATCATTGATAATTTGAAAATGTCAGCCTTTTATATTTGGTTACGTTATATATGAAAGGTGCACAAGAAACTCTACACCCCCACTGTCACTACCCATTGGGCCCACTTCTCCAAGCACTGACACATCATAAACACTGTTATTTCCCCCACATTTCTGAGGCGGACTAACGTTTTCATGTCATGGAAAATTTAACACATCATAAAAAGTATTACTTTGACTCTCTCAGGTTGGGAGTCTGAAATACCAGTGGTTACATTTCTTTTTGTTCCCTTGTTGCCAGCTAATTCTCCTATGGTTTGGAAAACTGAGTTGCTGCTGTAAATATTAGGCCTTGAGTTTAACGATCAGTTTCCAATAGTATTTGACGGTGTAACATATGGCCAATAAATTCCTCTGGGAAATAATATGAAAAGGCCGACATGCAGCCAAATGTTAACAATAACCTCTGAAAATAATCTCACCAGATAAGATGCGCAATACTGTCAAAATTATGACGATATTTCTGACCAGGATGATGTTGAAATTCACCACTACAGACTACAAAAATCAAAGGCCGTGAGGTAAATAATCATTGAGAAAACATATATGATATTTCCACAACTACTTTTATCTCGTATTTCTACCTACAATACCCTGATGGGCTACAAAGTACTCATATTATGTCAAGGTATACAATGCACATGTGCCTTTATAAGCAGTTGCAGTGTGTAGATGGGGTCAGTACATCTCACACATGCCAACGTGCCTACAGTCCCAGAAGAAGGTATGTTATGTCTGCTGTGTGCACAGCTGCCAGGCATTTCCACACAGATGGCCCACTGGCATGGAACAATTCTTTAATTAAGGGGTTCCTCTCGACTACCAACCCTCCTCCCCCTTACCAAAACCACCACCTACCCTCCCTGTTTTTTGTCTCCTATACGTTTAATGGAATTCCCCCTGCTTCAAAGGCAATTACAGTCCCACAGAGTTCACACAGAAATCCCCACACACACACAAATGCACACTCTCAAGGATCACTTATTCCACATGTACACTTGAATTGTGGGCCATGATGTAAGTGTGGAAGGGTGGGTCACGTCTCAGCAGTATGTCACTTCTTTCTCCGGTAGCTGCTAAACGGTGGGAGCGCGTAGGGGGGGACACATGTAACTGCATCCATGTGTTGCGATTACATCCAGACCAAACAACACTCAATGAAGTATTATAAGGGTATGCATAAGAGTCATTATTAGTGTGGCTTGGGTGGATTAGAAGAAGCAGATACACTATTGTATGACTCCTTTCTATTTTAATGTCTGTGAGTATTCCAGGTGCTCAGATTATTGTTTCTGTCTAGCTTTGTTGACTTTAAGTTTGCCCTTGTTACGGAATATACTGGCTGCCTGAAGTGAACTACTTTAATCATCTTAACTTTCAAGGACTCCGGATAAGAGTGTCGTGCAGGGAGCCTTATCTTGGAACATGCGTGTGTTGAAAAATTACATTTTCTTCGAATGGATTGTGGACGTAGAAACACTAAGTTGCTAAGTGAAACAAGCAGACATCTTTCCTGCGAACTAGCCTGTCGCCTCTAATCACTGTTTATTCAATCTCTTATCTTAGTCCTCGCTGTTTTTCTAGTGATGTCATCAGCCAAAATAGTAGGGGCTGGGAACTTCCAAGTCCTGAACTGGATACTAATCCTGTCTACTGCTGCATTAAAGGGCACTTTGCACTAATAAAGGCAAATCCTTTGAGAGGAAACGACATGGCTCACGTGCCCAAAAAACACTGCTCGCCTCACACCTGTGAAATCACTTCTAGCCCTTTATGGGACTGTATCACGCTATTCCCTCATGTACTTTGTGGTACATACAATGTTGGTCCAGAATAACTTTTTCTCATTAGGGACACACACATAGATGAGTAAATTTGGCCGACAGAGCCACGTCTGAGGCCATTTTTGTAGTTGGATATAATTTAGTGACAGTCTGCGTGTTATACAGTTGGAAAGACAGTAGACGAGTCACCTTTGGTGAAAAGAATCCTGCAGCTGACCCTTAAATAATGCTGGAGACCCAACCCTACTTTAAGGAGTAGTAATAGCTCAAATAACCAGCTTTCACCATCAGCTATAAGTCAGCAGAAGCAGTTGCCACATGTGTTCAGGGAATACATAAATATATCAGCTGATCCACATTTCCCCCCCCCATCACGTTTTATCTCACGTCGTTATAGAGCAGAGCACCGCACAGCTTGAAAGAACATCATTTTGGATGAATAAATAGTAAGGTGCTGCACATAAAGCTGGTGACATAACGGTTTCATGGCTGTCAACATTACAAGGCACCTTACCACCCACTCTGCAGCCTGTACAGCAGGCACCAATTTCAGATTGGTTTCCCCTTAAAATAGATGCATGACCGCCACCGGGGGTTGTTAATATGTCATGGAAAAAAAGGGTTTGTGCGGATTTCATTGGTGGGTTAGAGGGCCAAAATGGGATTTCTAAACTTTACAGGATTCATTCTGGCTTTGTTGCAAATGTTTGTTTGCCTGCTAACATAACTGACATTAAAAAAAGAAAAGGAAACCTCCGTTTGGGAGCAGTCAGCGAGTCACAGCTATAGCCACAGCTTCACAGAGGGCTTCCCTCCCTTTACGTGGCTCCCGAAGCTGGAAACTGTGGCTCACCCGCTGCTTAAAGCGGTGTTACACGTTCCATATGTCATTTCCTAACCACAAGTGATTAGGTCATGTATGTACAGACCGATATATCCTGTGCATGCACACATGGCCACCTCCGCTTCAACATGTGGATGGTGGGCCGAGTGCCCTCATGTGTGACAGGGTTTGAAGGGGGACGCTGATTGATGCAGTGTGTGGACTGTATGTAAAGGGCACTCAGGCTAAGTGATATGCCCCCAGAGTGCAATCAACATGTGTAAAATATGTAACTCTGATTGTTATGAACTTCCTGGTTGTGGTGGTGAGATGGTTAATGGAGTGGTGTGTTTCCAAAAGAGACCTAGATGTCATGGAGGTGGAAAGTAACTAAGTACATTTACTCAGTGCTGTACAATTTTGAGGTACTTTACTGGAGTATTTACATTTCCTACTGCTTTATACTTCTACTCAACTTCATCTCAGAGGGAAATATTATACTTTTTACTCCACAACATGTATTTGATAACTTTAGTTACTTTGCAGATTAAGATTATATATTTAAAAATATGAATAAACTAATAAATTATCTAAATTAAAAAGCTACCCAACAGTGTGTGTGTGTGTGTGTGTATATATATGTGTGTGTATATATATATATGTGTATGTATATATATATATATATATATATATATATAAACATTAAGGTGCATAATGAGTAGTATATTTTGAGACTAATACTTTTTAACTTTTACTTAAGTAATACTTTGACTGCAGGACTTTTACTTGTAACATAATATTTCTACACTGTGGTATTACTACTTTTAGTTATGTAAAACACATGAGTACCTCTGGTTTCTACATGGAATCCCCTTTCAGTACTTTAACACCACACAGTATTCTTTCCTCCAAACACAGCTTCTTGAGAGGACTCTTAATTGAATTAGTATTAGTTTTATTTATGTAATATAAGTTGTTAGTGTCAATCAGATGAGTTATTATCTTCATATCTCTTTTTGAAATAGATGTTTACAACCACCGTCATCTGACAATAAAAAGCCATAGAAAGTACTTGATATCTTAAAATACTTAATGCCGTTCTAAAAAACAGTGGGCTGTACATACTGTATATATTAAACATAGTATAATCACAGAATGTGTACTGTAGTGTCTGCCATACTCTATCTCTTACGCTGTCTTTTTATTTGACTTTACTTTGCCACATGATCCTTGTACTATTCATTTATTATCGTATGTGTGGAAAACTAAGTTGTCAGTATTTCTACGACTATGTTACCTTGAACAAATTCCTGCCCTGTGAATTTGCAGAGCCATAAATGTGACTCGCTCAACAACACTTTCTGACTGAGACTGAGATTCATTACTGTCTAAATAGTGAATATCTTTGGACTCGGCGTGTTAGAATAGCTGCTCCAACATGTGTTTCAGCGTTTCTTTATGGATATTTCAGGTCTTATATGATATAACCCCTTGCTTCAAAACATTAATGAAATTCCTGCCATAGTTTATATACTAATACACTTTTTAAAAAGACTTTAAAACTTTTCTAGATTTTGTTAAATAGATTGAGGTCCTTTTGTTGACTTCTTTGACGAGTTCTTTAAAAGATAAACGTTTCAGAAGTAATTTACAGTAACTACACAAAAAAATAGTAACTCGAAAGCCGAAAGAAGTACCGTTAAAAACACACTCTATGAAACTTAATACAACAAAGTACACAAGAACATATCAGCAGGAAATGATGCTACCCTTAACAGCTGTACATCTCCAATCCAATCAAGAGAATATTTAAAAAAAAAAAAGTTTTGAAAGTTTTTTCCCCTAAATTGAGAGCTTTGTTTTAAAGCCTACCTGCGCCGAAGGCTTTCCCGTCTTCACTGCCATAAGCTCATTATCTTCCCGTACAACACTCGACCCTCAACTCTTCCTCTCTGTGTGTGTCTCACTCTCTCGTTGCCTGTAATGTGGGCATTCCTGCAGTCAGACCAAACAATAAGGGATGTGCTCCCTGCCTATGGACCATTACATCATCAGCATGTCCTTATATGGAGCTTTGCATTGCAGAGGCTCGCAAGAAGGGGGTGTGCTTGCTCACATGTGTAACTGCGAGGTGCGTATTTCTCAGTGTTTGAGCGAGTCTGCTGAAGTAAGTGTTCAGCTAAA